TTTTTTAATCTATTTTTGTATGATTGAATTATGCATGATGATGACGTGGATGCATACATACATACATACATACATAGATACATGCATGCATGCATACATGATGTTTAAATAAATAAATAAATAAATAATAAATAAATAAAGGGTTTGTCAGTCCACCATCCTATCCCCACATGGAATTCAGCGTTCTTTTTCAAACTTCTCTTCATACCCGCGCACTCGCCAAGAGTCCGTTGTTTCAATTTATTATTATTATTATTTTTTTAAATTTAATTTTCCTTTTTTTTCTCTCTCTACATGAATTTAAAATCCTGTTCTTGTTTTTCCAGAGAGAGAGAGAGAGAGAGAGAGAGAGAGAGACAAACAGAACAGAATACCTCGTTCTGTCTCATTTCAATCTTCCATGTCTCTTGCCCTCACTCATCAAAAGGGGTATTTCTTCTTCTTCTTCTTCTTGATTTCAAGCTTGCAGAAACCCATTTCTTTCTTCCATTCATAGATCTCTACCTTACCCTTCTTAATCACTGTTTCTTGGATTACGGGAACAAGATTACAATCACAATCACGGTGGTTGTGATTGTGTTTGCGTTTGTTTCGATTCAGGCTTCTCATTTTGTAGTTCTGATTGGATTGGATTCGTGATTGATCGTTGCTTTGTCCTCGTGATCCATGGCGGTTCTGTTTGTTTGATTCAGACACTAGCTGTATAGTGAAGAAATTAAAGTGTTTAGGGAAAAAACAAGGTCAGAATCCGAGGCGATTTCGAGGATCGCTTTCTACTAGAAATTGCTGTTCCGTTTCGAAACCCAACAGTGACCTGTATCCGTAAAGATTAAAGGAAAGGGGACTTTGCAGTTTCTTATCCCTTTCTTTTCTATATGCCTTAGAAAGGCTTGCTTGCCTTTAGCATGCTACTTGGGTTCGATAAAAGGGGAGGAGCGCCTAAGAGATACTGTTTATTGTAATTAATAAAAGCAAATGCAGGACACAAAGAAGAAGCTCACCACTGAAGATTCCAAGAAGAAGGAACGACACATCGTTTCCTGGACGCAACAGGTTTCCATTTCTTTTCCGCGTTCTCTGTTTCACTTTTTGATTCTTGTAGAGATCCTTTTGGCTGTGGTTTCTGATATGTGTTCTTGGAGTTTCAGGAGGATGATATTCTCCGGGAGCAGATTAATCAACATGGAACCGAGAAGTATGAACTCTCCCTCTCTCTCATTGATTCTGTGTTTATCTTCTTCTTCCTTGTTAATCTGATTGATTGTTGATGCAATCGACTGTGCAGTTGGGCAATCATTGCGTCAAAATTCAAGGATAAAACAACAAGACAGTGCAGAAGAAGGTAATTCAAATGATGAAAATCATGGTAACATACCTGATTCAAACAGTTCTTGTTTACTTCTGGGTTCATCGAGTTTCACTGATATGAATGGCATATGGGAATTTGCGTTTCAGATGGTACACATACTTGAATTCTGATTTTAAGAAAGGGGGTTGGTCTCCGGAAGAGGATTTGCTTCTATGCGAGGTGATTCTTCCCCCAACTTGTAAGAACAGAGAATCCATAACAGGGATATAAACATTGTCTGAAATCACTGTCATATTAAGCTCAAACTCTAAACTTTTTGAGTATTCCCTGTCATTGGATGCCCTGAATCTAATAAATTAGCCTGGTCTACAGGCGCAGAAGATATTTGGGAATAGATGGACAGAGATAGCAAAGGTGGTGTCAGGCAGGTATAGAGCTTTCACTTTCCAGTTCTCTTGTTGCAGTTATATTTTTTACCGCAAAGTCGACCGAACATTTATATGCCGATTTCACTGATGCAGAACGGACAATGCAGTGAAGAATCGGTTTACGACACTCTGTAAAAAGAGAGCCAAATATGAAGCATTAGCTAAAGAGAACTCAAGTTCCTTCATCAATCACAACAACAAAAGGGTCCTAGGTCAGAAGGGGAGTGATAATGTTTCATCAGAAACTCCTCAGCTGGTTAAGAGGATAAGGTAGAATTTGTGTACAATATGTCTAAATAGAAATAAGAAGGAAAAACTGCTTCACAGCAAAGAATTAATCATTCTGCAATTGACTGTTTAGGAGAGCACACATATCTGATACGACAGAAGGTTGCTCAATCGAGGATGGATCAAAAAACCGACTGAGAGCTCCATTTGCAGTACTGGTTGATAATGTCCACGGTGTCGATAGTTTGCCAGCTCAACTTCCCATGAACAATGCCCAGGAGGGTCTAAATACTAGTAAGTCACTACAAACAACCTTCACATCATACAGACAAAGAATAGCATTTCTACTAGTCATTCCTTCGCATGCTTTGTTTGTGCATCCTTTGGTTTCACTTCTGGGTTCATGATATTGGGTTTAACCGCTTCATATCTCTACCATAAGCAGCTCAAGGTAACAAGAGTCAAGGAACCTTTATCAAGAAGGATGATCCAAAGGTAGCTGCTTTAACACAACAAGCAGAACTACTCAGTTCACTCGCATTGACGGTTAACTCGGAGAATACAGACCAGAGTCTTGAAAATGCTTGGAAGGTGGGTAATATTATGGCTACTTTGTCTATCAACAACTTTGTAATAGTGGGCTGCCATGTTGGTAATGACATAAAAAGGGATATCCTGAATTATGTATTGCTGCTAAACTACATGCTCAAAAAATTGGAAACTTCTCAAATATGTCTGATATATTCATTCATGCAGTAGTTTTTCTTATTCCTTGAGTCCACTAAATATGAATCAGATTCTCCAAGATTTCCTCCGTCGAAGCAAAGAAAATGACATACCCAAATATGCAACTCCGGATATTGACTTTCAAGTGGAAGATATTAAAGGTTTAGTGGAGGATTTAAGGAGTAGCAATGATGGTAGCCAATGGAGGTAACAAAAACATGCATACTATAATTTTCAGATTGAAGCTACTTAGTATTTGTGGCCTTATCAACTTCATTGCTCGCAGACAACCCAATCTCCACGAGTCTCCTGGCAGTTCAGAATACAGTACTGGATCAACAATAGTATCCCAAGCAGTTGAGGAAAAAATAGATCAAAGCCAACCTGAGATAGGGACTCATCATCAAGAGGCTCAAAATAATATTGGTGAATCTGAGAAAGAAATACTTCTGAAGAAAACGCTAGAGCGAGGTAATGAATAAGTTCTTACATTGGTTATAGATACCATTAATTTTTCCCATGATATGCTGCTAAGAAGATACAATGTTTTACTGCTGCAGAGGCTTTCAAATGTTGCAATGAACGAAAAAAGGATTCCATTACCTCTTCCTTTTCAAGCTCAGAATTCAGCTCCCCCATGCATGTAATTCCACTTTTTAGATCCTTGGCAGCTGGAATACCTAGCCCACAATTCTCTGAAAGTGTAAGTGACCTTTACATTTAGTTTTTACTGTGCTAATAAAATAAAACCAGTCAAGCGATTCTTTCTGGATTATAGAAAAGGCAGCAGCTGCAGCAATAAACAGTGGTCGTATAACCGCATAAAAAACTTGGGAGCTTATTCGAAATCTTAATATTTCCTACAGTCATAGAAGTACTGCAGTTCTTTAAAAGTTCAAATTTATAAATAGACAGGTCTCACAATTAGTATTCAATTAGGTTTTGTGAACATGAATTACATGGGTCAAATCAAGCTACCATGTTGACATAGACAGATAATTCTCTGGCTTTCTTATATGCATTTTATGGCTACCTCTCATTTGTTTTGTGCTGTTTTCTTTTCTTTTTCAGGAAAGGAGTTTTCTTCTTAAAACACTGGGAGTGGAGTCACCTTCCCTTAACCCTAGTGTTAATCATTCACAACCACCACCCTGCAAAAGAGCCCTTCTCCAAAGTCTATAAAACCTCTCTAATTAGTCTTTTTCTTTTTTCCTTTGAATTAAGTTCCATTGGTTTGCAGCCATTCCGGCCTAGAATTTTTCTTAGTGGCATGTTGATATCTGCATTCCATGACTCGTGTCTAGAATACTATGGAGGATTCAGACACATCGGAACACATATAACCACGTGTTCCACATTCTTTTTTTCTTCTCTCCCTAGGTGGGGTTTCTCTAATAGTAACATCCAAACCAGTGTGCTTGGTGTGTCATTTTTTTCTTCTTTCCAGTTCTTTGCAATGTGATTTTGGTGTCCCAGTTTTTGTAGCTTGGTTTCCCACATGTACATAACCTCTAGATACATTTGTAGACATTCAGAGAGTAAGCATGCTCTGGCCGCAAGCTTACTACCCTCCAAACAAAAAGTGATCGAGGGAAGCAGAAAGCAAAAAGAAGAAGACAAAAAAAAAAAAAAAAACTAATGTAAACAGGTAGAGGATAATCAGTTGGGATGGTTTCTTGTATACTTTTTTTTTTTCTTTTGGTGTGCAGAGGTATAGAATCAGTATTTTTTTTGTTCCTTACCTGATTTTTGATGTAACAAACATAAATATGATATGAATGGAATGTGTTTTGTTGTTGGTGTGCATTCATCTCTCTACCTTGCTTTCTCTTCTCCAAATGTCCCTGAAATTTTGACAGAATAGCAAACCCAGTAAGTAATTGCAAGAGTTCAAACACTTTGGCCCCAGGGAAGGGGAATAAGACAGAGAGAAGATACAAGTAGTGGATTTAGTGAGCTTACCTCAGTTCTCGGGCGCTGCTGAAAAAGACTGAAAATTGAAGCTCAGAGGGAGAAGGGTGTGTTAAATTGAGGTGGTGGTGGTTGCCGCCAGTCGCGGTAGAGGACAAAGTATAGTTATGAGGAAAGTCAAAAAGTGGAAAGTAAAAGAGGAGGGAACTCCCTACAAAATAAAGGCCCACTTATTGCTATCAACTTTCTCGAGGAACAAGGCCAATATTTGAACTTTTGTTTCCAGAAAAATGGAAGGATTATCAACATTTCTCGCTCACCTTCGTTTATCCATGATAATTGATTGAATTCAAATGTAAGTGTTAACCTTAATTCAAGCATCTGAAGCTAGAAATCGATGAAACACAACAAGATTTCTTACTTGTTCTTTAAATCAACAATAGCACTTTTCGAGATTATAGTAATTCATTCTCTTAGAAAAAAAAAAAAGAAAAATCAGTCATAGGTTCGAGGAGGGGACTTCCACTGGGTCACCTCCAAAGCCTGATTATACAAAAGTAAAAGAAAAGGGAGAGTCAAAACTTTGTTCATATAACTTCTAATGCGCTCTATAAAACATGATGCCCTCTAATTTAAGGACCATTGAACTTTGCTTACACTGTAATTCCTAGTTAGGTGGTCTTTCTCTTTCTCTGCAACTTTTGCAGCTTCCTCCACTTGAGGTAGATTTGATATGATAGCCCCGAGAAGACCATTACAACGCAGCCCCACTGCTTCGATGACAGGGGATTTCCACTGAGCATAGAGGACACCACGATGCTGACAAACTTGCGAGTTGTGGTAATGGTGGTATTAGCAAGGGAACCGAATCGACTTATTGTTAGGAAGATAAAATTTTGGCCTACTGCTCCACAGAGACAATACAGAAGAATGTCCCACGATGCCTCGGGATGCTGTCTACAGAATTCTATGGCATGATATCCAGTGCCATTCGGCCACCCAAACATATAAATCATGTTATATATTGTACCCCAAAGATTCATTCCCAACATTATGTCCCATGCACTTGTTTTTGGGTACCTGCAGAATCGATGATGATTATTAAATGACCATTACAGTAATCATTACTGATTTAAATATACTGTTAAACAGCATAAAGCTTCCAAGTTCTGGACTAAATTGCATTTATTTCCAAGAACAGCATTGAATCTTTTAGGCCACCGAGAATGGAAATGTCAAATACATGATAATCTTTAACATTATGAATTCGTATAAACTAGTCGTGTACGAGAAAGAAGACTAACAAAGAGAAAATTGTAAAAAATGATATTATCACCTTGTTGAAATGGAATCTTGAGTGGCATTCGTGAAACCATCAAATGCAAGGTTCAGGAAGCAGAGTCCATATCCAAGTGGTGCATTGGGATGTGCCAACTTGCTAATAGTCTTTGAGCTAGTCTGGAATTAACAAAATTTTAAATATAGATAATAAGGACGTATTCATTCATCATCACTGTTTTCTAACAGGTGAACACAAAGAGAACGAGAAGTAGGAAGATTTGAAAAGGAATAAACCTTTAAGAGTGCAAATGTAGACACTCCTCCAGCAACCAAAAATGTACAAAGATACTCCGGAAATGTGTACTTAATACCATAAACTAGCGTTCCCATCAGCATTACTGCACAAACAGAATAAAAAGCATTCAGATTAAGAACTCAATAGATCAAAAATTCCTCAGATAATATACAATCCTCATATTTAAGTGGAGTAAAAGATATTATTATGAAGATCTCGTTTATGTCTGACCTGGAATCATTTTTGATGACTTTGCCAGGACCTGCAGAAATTGACAACATACTTAGTTAGCTAAAATAAACTATCACTCATTAGTTCGACTTTTAATTCCAATCTAGCGAAGACATTTTAGTTGCCGCACACTTTATTTAGTAATCACACACATCCTAATCATGAAGTATCATTTATATCTCCTTCCTCGCGTTGGTTTATAATCAAGGAAATCTTGATTGATTAAAGTTAGAAAATTACAGAACCATAAAAGAATATGAAGGAATAAGGGAATGATTTGAAACATGCCTGGGCAGGATAACTTATGTACTTCAAAGCTTCAATCCCCATAGCTGGTCCAATCGTATTCGTAATACCAGCACTCCAGTAAGTCCACCAAGGTGCGCCAACAGTGCTACGACTGGACCAGAGCTTTATCACTGTTTATGATACACACAAATCTTAGTTCTTATGTCCACAAATTGTTTTTTTATGCGGTATGCCAAGGGAAGATACAGAATAGAATAAGAACGGTAGAAAGTTGAGCCAAGAGGAACTCACTTATATATGACCATATTAAACAGACAACGTTTTGTGCCAAGTTAAGGAAGGAAAGGTGTTCAAATCTCTTTTCGTCGGAACCAAAGCGCTTAGTAGACCTAAATAGAAATGAGAAATTACTTAGAATCATCAAAATGGACTTAAACCCATTGGTGAGGAAAGCAAGAACAACGAGCATTTGCATTCCTCAGGAACGTGACTTTTCCGGAGAGAAAAAGGGTTCCTCAAGATCAAGTTCAAAGAAAGACAGTAGGTAGAACACCACTACTAATCCTTAAATCAATTTATTTTCATTATAAAAAAAATAATAATAATAAAATTAAAAATTAAAAAAAAAAAAACCCATATTTCAGATGCTTCCAACATTTTCTGATACATACATGATTGAAGCAAAATGACAAGCATTGATCCGAACTACTGTTAAATGGCAACAATATATGGCGAAGAAAGCCGGAAGGAATTACATAAGGAATAAATGGCAACATCCAATTCCATGGAAGAGTTCTCCAGATTTCCCTAGATAAAAGGCATTAGTGTTCGCAAGTAAATCCAAAAGAATCAAGACACTTTCCAACAAAGAACACAAACGAGAAAGCCTAATATGAAAACAAAGTTTATGAGAATCCATCAAAATCCTCGGGAAAACATCAACAGTAGAAACTCGCTCAAACAACTAATGCTATATAATCAAATGATAATAAACAAAACAAACTTACAGAGTCTCCTGAAGAACACCTTGATAAATGTAAGCAGACCAAATCCCGGCGACGCAAAAGGCGAGCACGAGCACGCGGCATAATCCGCTGCCATGAGCTTCCATTCTCAGCCCTTGATGTCGCCGGAGAATTAGATCGACCAAAAGAATACGAAATTGCAGAGATACGCAAAGAGAAAGAATGGCGAAGAAACGAATCGGAGAAGAAATTAACTGCCAAAATGCCCCTTTCACGAAGGATATAAAAGGTCGAAACGTCAGATATTGGAGATATTCCACGTGGAAGATTTCTATTGGATTGATGACATAATGTCGCGGCTCTGATTGGCCGAATCGACGCAGATCTTTTAAACGGAACGGATGGGACAACGACCGAAGCTCGACTTGGCGCCGTTAGCGGCGTGGACTTCCAAAGGCGCGTAATCGGCTACGGATTGCTGCCTGCTGGAAGAAGACCACTACGACGTATCTTTTACGATATGACGTTTCAACTTTTAATTAACTTGACGACATGTCGTTTGGCCCAAAGCGGTACGGTTTTACCTTTTTTAGGCTTTTTTTTCTATTTTAGGAAAAATCAATTTATATTCGTAAATTCCTAAAATTTCCTAAATTAATTATTTTAAATTATTGAAGTATTAAACTATTTTGAAGTATATAATAAAGAGAATTTCATTTAGTAATTATATATTTAATTCATCAACTTAAATTACATTCTAAATCTTAATGTTACTGAGGATATTCATATGACTCGATAATCCGATCAACTTAAATTACTTAAGTCAAACCATAAAAATTGGGTTGGGTTGAATTTTTGAAAAATCGAACAATTCGGGTCGGTTCGTGAGTTGACATTTTTTATTGAGTCAACCCAACTAACCCGAAAATAGGGTTACAATCAACCCAATCCTACTTTACTCTTAGGATCAATATGAAAATAAAAAATATTTGATATTTATTACTAATATTTGTAACTTATAAATGTTTGATAGGTGGGATTTTTCTTAAAATAATTAAAAAGGGAAAAAAAAACATGACAAATCAACCCAACTCGAAAATAGAGGGTTGAGTTGTGAACTGTCTCGTTGTTCAAACTCAACCCAACCCAAAAATAAATAGTTGAGTTGTGAACTTTATTGGTTTGATTCACGTATACTCCTAAAAGTTACCAACAAGAGAATTAGTGTACATCAAAAATGGAAAAGTATCAAAATGACACCCAGAGTTCTCCCAAACACTTCAATAAGAAACGGAAGAGCCCTAATGAAGCCTCCTGGAGAACTCTAGAAGATACTCAGACATATTCAAACATCTAAGTTCATAGCTCCTATGGTCGTGTTTATGTTCTTCATTCAACCCGTAGTGAATCCATACGCGAATTCGGGGAATATAAGAGAGAAACGAACAGAATATTGTGGAAGGAGCAATGCCCACAACTTCCCCTTTTTTATTCTCTCAAATGGATTAGATTCTATGTGAGAATCTAACCTGAGTCCAAATGAAGATAATATCGTCGATTCTCAACCAAATTTTTACTTTGAATTGCACTCACAAGATGCTTAATACTCGTGAAAAATGTTGCTATTTACCTATTAATGTAGAATTTGAAATTTCATATCAGAGATGCTTGCAGACCGAGAAACTATTTCAATCCTTATTCACGCGAAATTCTTCATTTATTTTTACAAGAATCGGAGTACAGATTCTTCATGACAAACTTGTGAGTATTAGGTTCTTCATTTCAATTTATATATATATTAATTTCAAGGAGCGGTTAATAAATAATCTTTTATTTTTTAATATAATCTATGCTTAAAAAAAAACCTTATATTAAATTTAATAATATTTTATAACGATAAATATAATTTTTAAAAACTCAAGTTTTAATATTACAATATAGTATTCTACAGCCATATTTTGACCCGGACGTTTTCGGGATGCCCCTAATAACCAACGAATGGCAAGTGCTTCTCCTTGTGTGGATCCTATTTTAAAGGGAACTTGATGAGTTGATCCGCTTAGACGTCTTACCTTTACTGCTATATTGTGTGTTTATATATACATAGAGTGAGTAAAGTGAGGTAGGACAGAAGTTTGGGTTAGTAATAAATTATAGTTTACCATATATATTATATTTGATATTTTATTATAAGGCAAATATCTAATATTTGCCTTATTATCATAGGTATCTTTCCATTTATTACTATTTCCATATCCTTGTAATTCATTTGATTATAAATAAGATAACTTTCACACCATTTGGGTGTGGTGAATTAATCAAACATTCACAAATACGATCAACATCATCTTAATAGACAATAATACAAGTTTAATAAAACTTGTCTTCCTCTCTTGTGACGAGAAACGTAAGTCAAACATTACCCTCTAAAATATTATTATGATGTGATATTTCCTTATCTTTATATTATAATGATATGACGTCTTTTAAATTTAGTTTTGAATTGTGAGATTCCACGTTGATTGGATAAGAAAATGAAACTTCGTTTATAAGGGTATGAAAACCTCTTCTTAATAGACATGTTTTAAAATTGTGAGACTGACGACGATACATAATGAATCAAATCAAATAAAATATCTACTAGCAGTAGAATTGAATTGTTTCTTATTTCTTCTTCCTATTTTTTATTTTTTTAAAAGAAATGTAAATAAAAATATTATTCATGGGTCGTAATTTTTTTTTCATATTTATTTATTTACATTTGACTAAATTAATTTTGATATTAGAAAAAAAAAAAAGTAAAGATTTTAAATAGGAAAATGATGTGTAGAGAAAAAAAACAAAGAAATTCGAGTATATATATCCATTAAAATCATCTTTAATTGAATTTATTACTCCAAATTAATTACGTCATTAATTAGAATTAAATACTCTTAATTCCACAGATTGCCAAACACTTGAGAGTTTGGTTTATACGTAGGCTTTGTAAAATTACGCATGAATATTAATATTTATATTACGTTTGGTAGGCAAGTTAGATTTTGTTATAATATTTAATTATTTTATTATAAGTATATTTTGAATTTTAAATTTAAATTTTTAAATGGCATAATTATATAAAAAGGAATAAAAACGTTAATATATACAGTATTTCATGTTCTAATTTAGAGTATATGCTTAGTATACTTTCAAAATGATTCTAGATTATTAAATATGGTATGATATTTATTTATAAAAAAAATTGACTTAAAAATTATCACAGTATATGTGACACTCAAGTAAAGAGCGGTACATGAATGAATCAAGGCTACGTCCAAATGAAGACGATCACGAGTATAAGATAACTAAGAAATTACCTATACCAACTAAGAACACCTTTTTTTTTTTTTTTTTTTCGCTCGGCGGCTTAATCATAAAAACTCCAAAGTTCAGTGTGTTTTGCTTGGAGAATGCGAAAAGAATTCGTGTTAGTCCACTGACCATCTGAAGAGGAATGTTGGGGTCGTTTTTCTTGGAGCATACTGAAAGGATTCGTATTGGTCTATGGGGATAGTCTTCACTATTAAGAAGCGAGAAGTAGGTAACGTGACCATCCTACAGGAAAATATCGAGGTCATTAAGTGCGAAAACCATATTTTAAATCTTTCATAAGTCATTACATAATATTTTATAAGAACGTTGCAACCGAACAAATAACCAATTATAACACAAATTTACAAATTTAAGAGCGAAGATGGCAAATAGTGCTAGGAATCACGACTCTCCATAATGATATGATATTGTTATGATAATGGTATGATATGGTTCACTCTAAACGTAAGCTCTTATGAATTTGTGTTTGAGCTTCCCAAAAAGCCACATACAAATAGAGATGTATTCCTTACTTATAAACTCTTTTTCAACAGATACATATGAACAAAGCCCTTGAACGATGATTGGATCTCCATGGATCAAACGTAGAAGAAGAAGAACAAACGTAGCATGTTCGTCAGTTGACACCAAGAGTTCCCCCAAACACTTCATTATAGGAAAACGTTAGTTAAAACTTGGCCTAAATGAAGTCATTCAGGGAAACTCTAGGAAGCAAATGACCTTGTAACCAAAACCCATAATGCATAAACTGCATGAGTTTGGTATATTTATATGCACTCTTGTGAGCTTCATATATGGTTCATTCATGCCAGGAATTGGTAAGGAATCAAAGGAAGTGAAAGGCGCAGAAAGTAAGCTTGTATGAACCTAGACGACTTGTTGGGTTTAATTTGGAGATATTATTGTAGCAAACAGAATAATCCATTTCTCACCCTTTTTTTGGTCTAAAGGGATCCCTTAGATGCAAAGTAGATATTAAAATCCCAATATGATAACATATATACTTTCCTTTTTCTTCCACTTCGTTTCGACGCGACCGTCCGTTGATTGATTTAATTAAAGGTGTTTTATAACACTCCAAGTCCACCGCTAACACATATTGTCCTTTTCGGATTTTCCCTCTCAAACTTACCCTCAATGTCTTTAAAATGCGTTTGCTAATGAGCGGTTTCCACATCCTTATAAAAAGTGTTTTGTTCTCCCCCAACCCATGTGGGATCTTACAATTCACCCCTTTGGGGCCAACGTCCTTATTGACACACTGTCTCGTAGCACATCGCCTGGTGTCGGGCTCTAACACTATTTGTATTGGTCCAAGTCCACCGCTAGCAGATATTGTCCTCTCTAGGTTTTCTCTTTCGGACTTTCTTTCGATGTTTTTAAAATGTGTCTGTTAGGAGAAGTTTCCGCACTCTTATGAAGTGTATTTTGTTCTCCTCCCGAACCAATGTGGAATCTAAACACATGAACCAAATTAAAACTAAATTCAAATCATAGGAATTATCGAATCCATGCTCAATCTATAGAACTCAAAGGTCGAGAACCTCGTTTTGTATAAACTAGTTCGAGTAATGCACGATAAAGTGAGATTAATCAAATAAGGGGTTGTTTGTTTGTTTGTTTATAAGATTTGGAATGAATTCCATTTGAAGTGGGAGAAGATTCATAGAAGGAAAAGGACGGATGAGCGAAGAAATTGATAAAGAGGTTCGTCTTGTCCACTGATCATACCCATAACCTACATTCTTCAAACCCTTCATTTGGTTCATGATTCAGACCAGGTTCGTCTTTGTATAAGCCTGCGCTGTGTTCATCGAACACAAGCTCAGCTTTTCACTAGAGTTACCTTCACCACTTCATTCGGATCGGTAGGTAGGTTAATCCATT